TCCTGAGATTGCAGAGCTTCCGCAGTAGCTGTGAAATTCATCTTTCCTGGGAAATAAGATTCTTAAGGAGTTAAACAGTGATTCCATATGGTATGTTGTTTTTTTGTTTTGTTTTTTGTTCTTTGATTTCCCCAATTTATGTAATGGTTTTCTTTCCATCAATCATTGTTAGAGGGTAAAGAGGAAAGCAAATCATTACAACATAAGAGGTAGGATTCATCAACAGCTTTACTACTCACCCAGTGACTTTAGGGTCACAGCCCAGGACAAAGTTTTCCGCCCATTTCCACAGACACAGTGAGACTCTTCACTCTTCTCTACTGGGACAGCCACGAAGGCAGGAGAGTCCTCCAGCTGCACACTGACCTGTCCCCCATACCGACCCACAAGTTTGAGAAAGAACACAGGGAGAGGATCAGTAATGGAGGAATGAAGTTTAAAGGGACAATGCATGCTAATTGAGAGGTTTTGAGAAGTTGTTCTAATGAGGAAAATTCTGTAAAATACTTTGCTGTTTAGATGTTTGCAATAAAGGAATTCAAAAACTGACAGGAATTAAGATAAATGCCCAGGATTTAGGCTTGTGCCAATGCAAGGAAGAGATATTTTCCTTAGAGTGAAAAAAATGAAGTAATCAGATGGAAATAATATAGGAATTCAGGAATACACAGATAATACCAAGTCCCAAATGAAGATAACATTACCACTTTGGACATGCCAGGTAGTTTTGCTGTTAGTATCTATTCCATTACAAAACTAAGTTACATCATATTCAATTATGCTTCACTAGGAGACTACCTAGGTAGGATGCCTAGGGAATGAATGGTGACTGTGTTCCTTCCTTCTACTTTTGCTCACTTCGAGAGAAGTACACTTACCCGAATGCAGTGGGACAAATAGTTGAACACAGTGGCTTTGAGTGTAAAGGCTTCTCCTCGCACCACAGAGTAGGGGAGAGTAAGTTCTAGAAAGAAGGGCTGGAAGACTTGAAGAGAGATGATGGGGGAGAGGCCAAGCCCCGTTGTTCCAGACAAGCAGAGTGCGCTGGCCTTCCACTCTGTAATGGTGTCAGGGATTTTCATTGCCATCTCACTGCTACCTGATAAACTAGAAAGAAGGAAAAGAGGACGGGAGTGAATGAATTTTTTTTTGAGCATGGACCCTAGCTGACCCTAAGGCATGATAATTTAGTAACCTAGGGGGGTAAATGCTAAACTTGATATAAGGTTTGTCACTATTAATGGAGTCTCTGAAAGTTTTTCTTTTCTTTTTAGGGCAAGGGTAGCTTAATGCATTTTATTAGTTTAGGTGTCTTAGGACAAAATTAAAAAAACAAATTGCATTGTCTAACTATGATATAAATGAACTATGAACCTAAGTATTTATCAGAAAGGAGTGGAGAAGAACTGAAAGGATCAGGAACCAAGGATAACACCAGAGTCATAGAGAAGAATTCAAATTTCTTAAACTAAATTCCAGGCAACACACAACTTACTCGAGTGGCACCAAGTCCCAGATCCAGGTCTCGGGGAAAAACTTCCGGACTGTCTCTTTTACTTCCTCGGCTAGAAAGTGTTCTCTTATCATCATTGGCTCATAAGCTAGACCAACACGTGCTGCAGGTGAGCCTTGTGAACCTGCTACGGAAAGACAACATGAAGGGTCCAATGTAAACCTCACTTTTCTTATTAATTTCTTATAGTTGCCTTATCTGTCAAGTAGAATAAGGTCATTTGCTCAGGGAATGTTTATTACTTGAACAATTTAAGCTACCAACTTGTTACTTATGTATTTGCCCAATAGGAAGGCTAGTCCTTCCTACAGGCTGGAGGTACTAAATGTATTTTTCAAATAGTCTGGAGGTAAATGTATTTTTCCCTAGACATGGAAACAAATGTAGCTCTCCCTAAGCTGATTATTCAGCTGGTAGAGGAAAGAATATAGAGTAAATTAATACACCAGATATTGCTTTTACACTGACATGATGATCACGTGTTCTCTATTTGCGATGAGAATCAAACAAGAGCAATGGATAGTAGCTATAGCAAGAGAATTTCAGGAATGATTTTTTTATTTAACAGTGAATAAGATATGGGGACATGAATAATAGGATATAGTAAAGTATGTGTTATAGGCAGCAGAGACTCAATACAGGACAGAAAATGAACTTTAGATTGACCAGAAAAGACTTTACCAAAGTAGAACTTAGATGATCATTGAAGGATGAGAAACAGGAGAATAGAGAAGGCATTTCAAGGAAACAGCTGTGCAAGTATGCACACAGATATCAGAAGGGGTGTTCCAAGGGATAATGAAAAACTTCTCCCCCTGGAGTAGAATGTCTGTTTTGGGGGTATGTTTGACATAGTTGAGGAAATAGTGTAATTATATAATAAAACATCATGAAGATTAGGACAAATAAATTAGATCTGTTAAGGCCAGAGTTAGCTTGATTAAAAAGTGATACTCCAGGGCCGGCCAAGTGGCGCGCGATGGTTAAGAACTGGCTTGGGATGCCAGAGTGCCCCGGTTCGGATCCCACATATGAGGGCCAGTGACACTGTCCTCTACAGCTAAGATGCTGANTGATCTACTTTACATTGAGGTTCCACTAAGGAGAGAAAATATGAGACTGTACAAGGACAGAGCAATAATCCATATACAAAATAATGAGGCTGGAATCTTCCTGGTGATGAAGGAATGAAGAAAGTATGAATTAGACACACTATTCAGTTATTCAACTCCCGGAATATGGTTGTGTCTACGTATGTGTTAATATACTTATATTACTTCCTAGAGTCTCTCCACAGACCTGAGTGGAGGAGAAGCCCCCATTGGGGTTTTGTTGCTTGGTGATCCATTTCACAATACGTGAGGCTACAGACAGGTCTTCTGGAGATGGGGCAGGCTGGGCAGTAAGATAGGCAAGGAGTAAGTAAGATGTCATCTCCACTTCAGCAGAAGGAGCCCGAGGTTGATAATAGAATGCCTTCGCTTCTTGAAGTTTCCCGGGACGTTCCCAGTGAATTGAGTCCTCTTTGAAATGGAAAATGACAGGATCTTAAGTTTAGATAATTCATGAATGATCATTGTGATTAGAGCTCACCTAGTGAATTGATGTAAATGAAGTAAAAATATTAAGTAGTCACCAACCAAGCAAATCTGCCAAGATAGTAAATTGAGGTTCCAGCAAATCACATTGTGTCTTTGTGCCTATTACATACTTGTGTGATATTAGAAGTTGGGCTGCATAGGGCATATAAGGTGTGAGTTGATAAAATGATCCACATTACCTAGAATTTATGTTCCATGATAATTATTCTTATAATATAGTATAGTATGATGTGATATGATATAATATAATCATGATAGTCATGAGTTCCGAAAGTCCTGTCCCTTCTTCTGTTAACTGGTGATTTTTGGAAGTAAATGTTGCAGTAGCAGCTCTTACGTTCTTTCACAGCCTCTTTGTCCAGTGACTCAAGCAGCTGTCTTCGCTTGGCCTGGTTTCCTGCTAGGGCGAAGGCATAGGCCAATAATGCTTTGGTATAGACGAGACTTCCTTGGGCCTCTGAGGTGGATTCCCAAGCACTTTCCAGGCAGAACAGAGCACTGCGGACAACTGGGTGCTATAAATAAGATGAAATATCTTAAGATAGCAGAACCAGGCAAATGAACTATATCCTGCAGCCTAACTCCTGAGAAAAATCTCCAGTGTGCCTGTGCAACCTCACGGTTTGGACCAGAAAAATAATTTCCTCTGCAGTTTCCAAAAGGATGTAGTCTTTTATGTTCCAGTGAAATACACCGAAATTAAATCACACAAACTCCACAACTCATTTTCCTCAGAGACTCATAGTTCCATGATTTTTTTCCCCCCTTATATTTGTGAGAAGCAGGTACAGGGAATGTGCTAGTACATACAGTGACAGGCAGTGGCATCTCCAGCAGAGCAATGGTGATGTAGGCGGAGAGCGTCACCTCATCATCTACTCCACCCTGTAAGGATCAGAGGCAGAGATAGTCAAACACACCAATATTCATTCAGAAGAGTCAGCTAACTCTATCTGTATTTCCCCTTAGACATCTTCATTAGGAAGCATCTTTTCTGGAGCAATATTATTGATTTTCCTCCTTCTTCCTCCACCCGAAAATTCTCCAATCTGTCCCAAGTCCCTTTGCTTTACTTTTAGTAATATATTGA